CAGGTCTATCAGGTCAGGTCTCATCATGTCCCATCAGGTCTCTTCAGGTCTCGTCAGGTCTCATCAGGTCTCATCAGGTCAGGTCTCATCAGGTCTCATCAGGTCAGGTCTCATCAGGTCTATCAGGTCAGGTCTCATCATGTCCCATCAGGTCTCTTCAGGTCTCATCAGGTCTATCAGGTCAGGTCTCATCAGGTCTCTTCAGGTCTCATCAGGTCTATCAGGTCAGGTCTCATCAGGTCAGGTCTCATCAGGTCAGGTCTCATCAGGTCTCATCAGGTCTCATCAGGTCAGGTCTCATCATGTCCCATCAGGTCTCTTCAGGTCTCATCAGGTCTATCAGGTCAGGTCTCATCATGTCCCATCAGGTCTCTTCAGGTCTCATCAGGTCTATCAGGTCAGGTCTCATCAGGTCTCTTCAGGTCTCATCAGGTCTATCAGGTCAGGTCTCATCAGATCTCATCAGGTCTCATCAGGTCAGGTCTCATCAGGTCTCATCAGGTCAGGTCTCATCAGGTCTCATCAGGTCAGGTCTCATCAGGTCTATCAGGTCAGGTCTCATCATGTCTCATCAGGTCTCTTCGGGTCTCATCAGGTCTCTTCAGGTCTCACACACAGTGGCTGTCCTCACTCAAATGAACACCGGAAGGTCCAAGAAAACAGTAATCATATTTACGATTTAAAATAAACAATAATTTCATCAAAATATATTCACCATGGCAACAAATCATTTCATTTCAAACCTTTATTTAACCAGGTGAATCTTTCAAGGGAGACCTGCAGCATGTAAATCATTTCCATCAATAATTCATTAATCAAATGATGAGTGGTTAAACATCACTAATGGTGTTCCACAAGGTTCTGTTTTAGGTCCGCTATTATTCTCCATCTACATCAACAGTTTAGGAACCTTACATTTGTATGCGGATGATACCGTGATGTACTGTGCAGGTCCCTCCATTCAGGAGGCTGGTGTTAACATTATTCAGACTCAGCTCTCTGAACTTAAGCTTCTTTTAAATGTTGATAAAGGTAATGCTCTTTTCAAAAGCTAAAAAGACTCCAGAGCCTGTTTTAGATATTGTTACTGCGCAAGGAATAAACTCAAAGTGGTTCCCTGTTACAAATACCTTGGTATCTGGCTTGATGATTGTCTCTCTTTTAAACTTCATGTCAATAACCTGCTTAAAAAGCTGAGGGTTAGACTAGGTTTCTTCTACAGGAACAAGTCCTGTTTCTCGCTTGAGGCCAGGAAAAGGCTCTGTGACCTTTTGACCTGTGCTGGACTATGGTGATCTGGTCTCAGTGCTTCTCAAAGTGTGGTCCGCGGACCACTGGTGGTCCGTGAGCGCCCCCTAGTGGTCCGTGAGTATATTGGTAAAAATTCACATTTGAAATAAATAAATACATTTAAGTTTTCCGCACTCTCGCGGGAATATCTCCGCAATGGAGCGAGCTTAAGTTTCACTTTCGATTGCATGATATAGCCCAGCACAACACCTTCATCACACATGTTGCCACCTGTTTGTACAATCTTGAGGCGATTTGTAAAAAACGATGTGTTTTTGGATATTTGTGGAGTTAGGTGGTCCGCGAGATTTGGGACAAATTGTAAAGCATTAACCCATCACTGTACCCTGTATGCAAGGGCTGGTTTGTTTTCACTAACTGTATGGAGGCTCAGTCACTGGTACATTTTTATATACAAAGCCATGTAAGGAAAATGTCTGTCTTATGGACAGAGTTAACATGGGACTTGTCCTTCAAATGTACTGAGGTCCGCACAATGGAAATGTGATGTCAACTACCAATGCAAATTCCCTGCCACCGGCTAGACACATTTGACCAACTATGCCTACACACATGCAACACTTGGGGGTTCTCTATGCATGTGTCTGAGGGTAAAATAATCATCATTCTGTATATAAATATGTTTGTCAATATCATGGACATCTAAATGCAGCTAAATGCAATGTAACATCTCCTGCTAAATTGAGGTCCACGAAGCTGACACAAGATACCCGCAGATAAGCACTCATCTCGGACTAAAATTCTCAATGCATAGCAGTTTTAATGGCATGCCCCCATATTTTTTTGTTATTCAGTGTTACCAGGGGCACGAACTTCTGACCGGTGTTCCCTCTTGGTTTAGTCCGTGGGGGAGTGCTTAAGTGTGGGTACACAGGTTCGCCTGGTGCACAAGGTTATGGAGGTGGGGGTCTTGCTGGTGCTCAAGTGCCCATATACATCACCCCATATTCACATAACTTTTACCCGCCTTAAGAGACACTATTTTGGGATACAATTTATCCATTTTCACCCCTTCACCTGGTTCTTCCTACAGTTAAGTTAGCCTTTTTCTGACTCTGGATGAATGGAATGTGATGTCAACTTCCAATGCAAAGTCCCTGCCACGGACAGGACATCACCCCATATTCACATAACTTTTACCCGCCTTAAGAGACACTATTTTGGGATACAATTTATCCATTTTCACCCCTTCACCTGGTTCTTCCTACAATTAAGTTAGCCTTTTTCTGACTCTGGATGAATGGAATGTGATGTCAACTTCCAATGCAAAGTCCCTGCCACGGACAGGACATCACCCCATATTCACATAACTTTTACCCGCCTTAAGAGACACTATTTTGGAATACAATTTATCAATTTTCACCCTTTTCTGTGCTGGAAGGAGCTCTCTGGGTCACATCCTGCTGCTGCTGCTGCTGCTGCTGCTGCTCTCTCTCCCTCCCTGTATTCACAGTACTTTTACCCAGCTTTCACACACTCATTCCGGGGTAAGAAAGCCATGTTCATCACCCTGGATCTCTGCCTGTGAGTGTGGGACCCTGCTTACAGCAGTGAACCTGTTGCCACATTTGGTCGTGTCCATTTCATGTACATTTAATGGGTAGTCAAATGTGGATGAAATGGACACAATTCCCGGAGGTTCCAGGCCGAATTGTGGAGGTCATAGGCGGCCTGCCATGCGCCCCCACCCGTGGAAAGCAAAAAAAAGTAAATAAAACGGTCAATTATATCTTAAAATAATCAAAAAAGAAGTTTAAAAAAATTCTCGAAAAAACGGCAAAGTGCCAACGGAGGAGGGGCTGCAAAAAGGCGGAAGCCCCGGAGACATTTGCACTACCCCGTTGCATTTTACAACGGAGAGGGGAATCGAGACCTCCCTTCCTCCGTCCAAAAAATTCATTCATCTTTTCCAAGCTACCATCTGCACGAAATAGGAAACCCAGTTTTTGAGAGCACTTAGAAAAAAACGGCCTATTTCTCATGATGGGGAAATCATGGAGGAATGCATCCGCTGCATGAGCACTTTGGATCGGATACAATTGTTGCCTGGAGGACCCCCAATCATGGTTCTTACCAAACCTTAAGTTTTTGAACTATGCCTCTGGAGGAATTCAAGGGGAGTTGTCACGGAATAATGAGACACTATTTTCGGATACATTTTATCCATTTTCACCCCTTTCTCTGGTTCTTCCAAAAGTTAACTTGGACTTATTCTGCCTCTGGAGGAATGTAAGGGGAGTTGTCAGGGGACTCTACCTGCATTATGAGGCACTATTTTCGGATACATTTTATCCATTTTCACCCTTTTCCATGGTTCTTCCAAAAGTTAACTTTAACTTTTTCTGACTCTGGAGGAATGTTAGGGAAACTTCCATCTTATATCTGCTCCCTGATCTCACGGAGAAGTGTAAGTGGCTACTGCCTGAGATCGCATGCTGTGGTTTTATTAAATTTGCCAACTGCTAGGACTGTCTTAGGGAAGACAGCTTTTAGATGCGCAGCTCCTCTGTCTTGGAATAGTCTGCAAATTAAATGGAAACTGAGCAATCTGGTGTCACTAAATGTTTTTAAAGCTCGGTTGGATGCTACTCAATCGGAAGCTATTGGTACCTGTACATGTGGATAGTTATGTAAATGATGCTGTATGATGTCCTTTTGTTGTTCTATTTATGTTTTTATGTTTCATGTGGAACTACTTGAGCAGGTCTCCCTTGAAAAAGAGATCAATGATCTCAATGGGATACACCTGGGTAAATAAAGGTTTGAAATGAATCTAAATAATAACTCTGAGTTAATTGTGGCTCTAACAGAGAGACTCAAACCTCAGCCTCGTAATAATCCAGAGTCTGAACTCTGAGACGATCTCTGACTCTCAGGATGCTGGATTAACTGCAACACTCGCAGTGAGACTGAAACCGCTTTGATCCACAGAGAAACCGTACAACTGTTACACATATGGGGCGAAGCCTGCGAGCTAGTTCAGGCAGCAGTTCTCGAGCACCAATGATACACTAACACGTGACGCGCCTCGTCCCTCTTACAACCAACCAATCACATTCTCCTAAACATGCCGCTCAATTTAAGCTGCCAGGTCTTCCTGCCTCGCTAACGCACGCTGCTGCTGCTGCTCGCCTGCCCACCCCCCCCCACCTGTAGGCTCGGGGGATAGTTATCTAATCATCCCTCAATGTTCTTTGTAAACCTGTGGAGTGATGAGGCTCGAGCCTAGATGCCAAACTCTAACTATATGCTGTTTCTAATAAACATGTTAAGAAACACGTGAGTTGTCTGACTGAAGAGATGGGGGAGGGAGTTCCTGACCCCCCCCCCCCCGCTCTCTCTCTCTCTCTCTCTGCTGCTGGTGCAGTCACTGTGTGAGTCAGAGATGGGGGAGGGAGTTCCTGAGCCCCCCCCCCCCCCCTCTCTCTCTCTGCTGCTGGAGGTCCCGCTGCACACAGAGAGGTTTCAGTCCGGCGGAGAGACATGAGAGACGGTAGCGACCTGCGGGGCTCAGAGCCCCCCCCCCCCCCCCCCCCCTCCGGGACCCCTGAGCACTTATCTGTCATCATGTTTAGCCTGTCCCTCTGACCCGGGTCCCTCTCAGTTTCAGAGGGTTTGGAGCTTTGGAGACGTTGGTGCGTAATTACTTGGATACTTTACGCGCGGTTCCCTGCAGGATTATTATTCAGATGGAGCCCTCCCTCCCGGTGCTGCTGGTCCTTGTTCTGTCTCTGCCTGTCTCCACGAGTCAGCACTTCTTCCTGCTGCGGCCCAGCGACCTGACGCCGGTCCTGGAGCTGCAGGAGGACCCGGACCCGGAGCTCGACCCCCGGGAGAAGGACCTGAACGAGACGGAGCTCCACAGCGCGCTGGGGAGGCACTTCTGCCCGGAGATGATGTCCCTGTTTCCCCGGGAGGAGGACCAGGAGGAGGGGCCGCTGCCCAAAGACCTCCAGGACCTGGACCTGGACCAGAAGCAAAAGAAGAAGAAGAAGCTGCGCCGGTGGCTCCAGCTGTGGGCGCGCACTGGCTGCCCGCTCGTGCACACATGGACCGACCTGGGCACGCGCTTCTGGCCCCGGTACGTGCGAGTGGGCAGCTGCCGCCGACAGAGCTCGTGCTCGGTGCCGCGGGGCATGTTCTGCAGGCCCGCGCGCTCCTCCAGCCTCACGGTGCTGCGGTGGCGCTGCGTCACCAGGGGGGCGGGGCTAAGATGCGTGTGGATCCCCGTGAACTACCCCGTCATATCAGAGTGCAAGTGCGCGTGCCCCACCTGAAGAAAGACTCTGTGCCGAAACCAGACTTTTATTATTTTCTATGAAGAAGAGAGACTCCCTGCAGCGGGTCCACGTGGAGGGTTCAGGTGCTTCTCTAACGTCATGCGATGCTCTGCTGATACAAACATCAAAGAATCAAGATCTCTCAAAGTCAAATCCCCTCATTCTAATAGTACATTATTTTATGTTGAATCAGAGCGAATGCTCACACGCTGAAATAAAGCGGTTTAAACCCGAGAGTTCATGTGTCTGACCGGTAGCAGCTCTCTCTGCAGATACTCTAATACTCATACTGTAATACAACTCTGAGTTCAGTTTATTCAAGCTTTAAACACTACATTACCCATGATCCTCAGCTGCTGGTTCAGGGGGGGGGGAACCTTTCAAATGAATCCACCAAAAACGGATTCAAAATCAGAAACTTTATCAGGTTTATAACAAAGTGACATTTATATAGTTGCAGCACACTGAGTTTAAAGCTCTTCCTGCAGAAATGCATCCTGGGAGTTGTAGTTCATTTCTTCAGTTTTGAAGTCCACAGGCTTGTTTGACCGTATCATATAAGCAGATGTTATTTTAAATGTTCACCTTTAACTGGAATTAAACTAAAGAAATGTAGGTAAATTTAAAGTGAACATAATAAAAAGACCGTCCAATGAACCAACGACGAGAAAGCGCCAGATATTTAAAAAATACAAATCTGTGGATTACTTAAAGAAACTGCTCTCAATCCTCGACCACAAGCCAAACTCAATACAACACAAATGGGGCGAAGCCTGCGAGCTGGTTCAGGCAACTCGAGCACCAATGATACATGAACTCGTGACGCGCCTCGTCCCTCTCACAACTAACCAATCACATTCTCCTAAACATGCCGCTCTATTTAAGCTGCCAGGTCTTCCTGCCTCTGCCTCGCTATGCTGCTGCCGCCGCTGCCGCCACTGTGTTCACTTGCTATTGCTGCGTTCATGTTCCTGCTGCTGTGTTTCATGTTGCTGCTGCTCGCCTAACCCCCCACCCCACCCCAGCTTCCACCCCAGCTTCCACCCCAGCTTCCACCTGCAGGCTCGGGGATAGTTATCTAATCATCACTCAATGTTCTTTGTAAACCTGTGGAGCGATGAGGCCCGAGCCTAAACGCCTAACTCTAACTATAAACTGCTTCTAATAAACATGTTAAGAAACACGAGAGTTGTCTGACTGAATGTATGAAATGCATCTACATGTGTCAGGAGTAATAGTTAAAGCTGCACCTCAAACCAAACTCCATCTTGAAGGTCAGATGTTTCTAATAAAGATCTGTAGATTATTTTTGAGCAACTGGGACTTTATTTCTTTATTTTCAGTTGTAATGTTTATACCAGAAACTAAGCTCCATTTGAACAATGTCCACTCTATCTTTCTCAGGTTCAGGTGTTCTTAATGCTGCACCTCATACGACCCCCCGACTGACTCTTCACATCTCTCATATTTCTACCTCCAAATATTCAAAGTAAAAGTGACACGTTTGGAGTATTTTTGGTACTTTATACTTTATTTGAAATCCCTTGAAAATGGCAGAGAGGCACGCGGGCTGCGAGGAGGCGGAGCCAACACGGGCTGCGAGGAGGCGGAGCCAACACGAGCACCGGATATCAGACGGGAAAACATATTTACAAAAATAAATTAACACATATTTCCAAGAGACACTGTGACGGTTATTAAAATGGTATAAAACGGTAGATAGGCGCGTAGGGAATGTCAGCTTTACATCGAATCTGTGCGTAGTGCAAGAAATACTGTCAGTAATACAAAGATAAAGTTATGAGTCACATTCAACAGCTTCGGTCCGGAGGACGACGACCAACACAAACCTTCACTTGTTTGGAGTTTGAACACAGATTTAAAAACAGGTCCAATGCACCACAACCAATTAACCAATTAGTTAACGAGCAGCGGGGGGAGGTGGGGGGGGCTCGTTAAGACGGAGGAACCCAGGCACTGGGATCCATCTGCAGTGAAACCCCGTCACACCTGGTACTAAAACACAGTCTGCGATGATCAGCTGATTCCATCCAGAGCTTCTTGGAGGTCTAAAGCTGCCATTATAGTAACAATAAATACATTACATTACAAATACATATAGAGATTAAAATCTTAATCTTATCCAAATATGATAATATGGTAAATTACAAAATAAATACTCTTTTTTTATTTCTAATTAAATGTATTTCCCAATTTGTTTGTTTTACTTTTTTCCAATAAATGATTTATTTCTCAATTTATTGACAAATTTAAAGCAGATTTTACGTCTTAATGTATTTATTTTTCAATAACCTGCATTTCTTTGATTATTGAATCTTTAATTAAAAAGTATTTCTCATTTACAGTTTGATTGTAATGACATGTTTGTTGGGGCTCATTATGGGATGGCGCAGTCACGTGATCTTTCAGACTGTGTTTTAATAGTGTTTCTGTATGGAAGCCTGGTTTTAAATTGTTTTATCTCCTGAATTAAAAACCTGTTTCCATGGATAACATTTTTATGTATTTTTTTAAATTCGGAAAAATACCAAATGTGGATATTTTGAAAATAAATGATTCTCGGAATTATTATTATTTTTACCTGTAAAAACAAACATTTTAGCACCGATTTAAAAAAGTAGGATTAAAATAAAGAATACAATTATTTAGATCAGGCTCTAACTAATTCATCACCAGAACTTGTTAATCGTTTTGACCCTCAGGGCTTCCATACATTCGGATCCGTCCTCCGTGTTTCTTTCTTCTTCTCTTTACTGTTTGTCATCATCACTGAAAAACCACAGAAATGTTCAGGAACAGGAAGTCCCGCCCCCTGCGACAGGAAGTGATGTAATAACTGTCCTCACCCCTGAAGGACAAACTGATCTATGTTATTTAATCCATGGACAACATTTTGTTTTGTTGAAAAGTCGGGGAAAAAGTCCAACTTTTAAAAAAAAAGTTTTTGGGGAATTTTGAAAAAGAAATATCCGAGGAATTTTTTATCACCAGTTTTGTTGATCTTTTTGTCCCTCAGGGCTTCCATACTTCCACATCTCAGTCTCTCCTTGGATCTGTCCTCCGTGTTTTCTTCTTCTACTCTTTACTGTAAAACCACAGAAATGTTCAGGCACAAGAAGTCCCTCCCCCTGCGACAGGAAGTGATGTCACAGCAGTCCTCAGCCCTTCAGAGCGCTGAAGAAGCCCTCGCTGGTGGGCGACTCCTTCACCGTGACCGTGATGAAGTTGGCGGTGACGTCGGTGACGCAGACCGTCTCCATCCGGCTCCTCTCGGGCCTCCAGTCTGTCTCCGTGTCCGACGGCACCCCCCCGCCCCCCCCCGAGGCCGGGCCGCGGCACGATGGAGGCGGGGAACATGGCGGCGCCGTCGTCCGTCTCCGAGTCGCTGCTCGTCTCGTCCGAATCTCCGGTGCTGAGTTCGTTTAGTTTCCTCTCCGCGGAGCCACTTCCTGTCTGACTGTCTGCTAGCTGCTGCTCCACGACTCCGCCCACATTGAGTCCGCCCACTTTGACTCCGCCTCCTTTCACGATGGCGCCGCTCCGTAAACTGGCTCTGGCGCCGCCCTGCTGGCCGCTGCCGGACGCCGCCTTGCTGACGCTCTGAAACAACAGAAACACATCTTTACTTTTCTATGTAAATATATCTCATCTTGTCTTTAGCAGGCTTAAGGTGATAAAGGTGCGTTCTGATTGGTTATAATACTACTTCCTGTACACATGGTATGATAAAGTGACTCTGACCCTGACGCTCTGCAGGTTGAGGGCTCGGAGGCTCAGCGCCTGATTGGCTCGTTCCCTCGGTGTCGTCGCTGCCTTGGAGACGATCAGCTGTTTGGCGTCTGGCCTCCTGAGGCTCAGAGACCCTGCACCCCCCCCGTGGCCCACCAGCTTCAGCGCCTTACTGGGCCCCGTCCGACTGTGGGAGGAAGAGGAGGAGGAGGAGGAGGAAGAGGAGGTCCACAGAGAGGCCTTGGAGGCGGAGGACTCTTCTCTGGAGCGACTCAGGCCGGTGTACGTGAAGCTGGCCGGCTGCAGGGGCTTCTTCACAGCGGGGGGGCGGAGCATCTGGTGGCGAGGAGGAAGAGGAGGAAGAGGAGGGGGTGATGAAGAGGAAGGAGGAAGAGCAGCTCTGGATTTCGCTTGTCTCAGCGCTCGGACGTCCGGGTGCAGCGGCTTCCTCCCTCGCTTCTTCTTCAGTATTACGGGAGGCTCTGGTTTAGCGAGGAGGATCTGGGGTCTCTTCACTGGGCCTGGCTGGAGGCGGGGCTTTTTAGATGACTCCTCCTCTTCATCATCATCATCATCATCATCATCCTCCTCCTCATCCTCCTCCTCTGAGGAAGAGGAGGAGGATGGAGAGGGGGAGGAGAGGCCGGAGCAAGAGGAGGACGACAAGCGGCCATCTTTAGTGAGGGCGGTGGCAGGCTGTGGAGAGAGAGAGAAACATGAGGAAGAGGAGGAGGAGGAGGAGGAGGAGGAGGAGGAGGAGGAGGAAGAGGAGGAAGAGGAGGAAAAGTAAATTCAGCTCTGCCCTATCTGCAGTGCGCATGTGCGAGATGGTCCGCCATATTTGACAACTCCATACGGCAACTCTAATGGGACATTTGACACAGTGGCGTTTGGCAAAGCAGAAAAAGAACACTCAAAAAACGCCAGTATTAATCTGAGCGAGAGAGATGAGTTATTGTTGTTACAACGTGACTTCACTTTTATTGAGCAACTCCTTTTATTGGGTCATTTTATCGGGTTGAGTACATTGTCAGAATAAGTGAGAAATGAATGTAACTTCTTCTGTTAGACAGCTATCATGCTGAAGAAAGATTGACTGTGAATGTATGCAAAATGTATGGCATTCATCATTTATATCTAATTACATTAACTGTGAATGTCCTTCATTTTATTTCAAATAAAAGAACAAAAGATTTTTGTAAAGATAGTTGAGACGTTTATGACTCGCCCATGCACGAGGCAAATCG